AAGAAAACTACTATGCAGTGACATCTTTATTAACACATCCTCCAGAACACAGCTTCTTTTGGTGTGGTCTGTCGACATCTCTCTAATTCCTGTCCTCATGTTTCTCTTGTCTCCACAACTGAAGTCATTAGCATGCTAAACCACATGCCAGTCTCTGGGACCAAGCCTATCTTCAGACAGAAAATTTATCAGAGATTTTTCATCACTCAGGTATCTCCACTCTAAATCAAATAAGCTTTAATAAACAGACTTATTTAGGCTTTATTTCCTCCATCTGTACACCACTTTCAGTAGCTATGTCCCTTTTTGTCCTTTTTATGAAATACCCAGAAAATCAGCATAATACAAAAAATGTAGCAATATTCAATCACTTGATTTTCTTCTGTTCAAAGGATCAGAATTCTCTTACTTTACCTGTCCCTCCATCTAGACCCTGATAAATGATTGCCGTGCCTTCCACAGGAATATCTGACTATATATTGCAGAGCCTTTACTGCTATCTGTTCCTCTGGGTTACCAATGGCTACTTGTTTCCATACTGTTTGGATAATGCCCTCTACCTGCCTAGGTACGTCTCTTCTCATCAACTACAGTGGGACCTGTCTTCTCTATACCAGTGTTTATGGTTACTGGTGAATGGACATAGATGATCTATCTACATTTATCCAAAGAGGATAAGCATAAAAAGCTCTGGGCTAGAAACTGGGGAAAGCTGGTATAAGTCCTGTATATGAGATTAACTAAATGGATGACTTGGAAAAACATGTTTAAATTCTTTGAGTCTTAGTTTCCAGTTTCCTCATAAGTAAATTTAAATACTGTCTATTTCTAAGGATAAGGGAGACTGAAACAATAGAAGATATTTTATGAGCAAAAAATCTATTGAAATGCAAGGTAGTTTGATTATTTTTTACTTTTACCTGTCAAGCCTCAAGATCCTTCTTTCCTATTACAAAGCCCCTGAAGCTTTAGAACTGTCATACAGTAGCTTTATATTTATAAAGCACAGCTTTGTAACTAAGTTATAAGCAAATAATCCAGATTTGAAATACAATTGTTAAAATTATAATTTAAATTCTCCTATTTAGAGCATTCTTAAATATTTTATGAGTTTTACAATATTAAAAACTGCTCAAAACGTCATTTAATTCTTCCAATTAACACGAAAGGTTCAAAGAGAACTGCATCAGTAATCACTGTGATTATTAATGCTTTGGGTACCAATAAACTATATGTACCCTCCAGGTCTAAGCACTGAGCTTCACAGCAGTTCAGAAAATGCTACCAAGGTTATAATCATTACGTATGAAAGGGGATTAAAATAATTGATGGTGTAGTGTGGTGGTTAAATTTCAGTCTCTATTGGGAGGCTGAGGTAGGTAGATAGCTTGAGCCCAGGAGTGCGAGGTTCGCCTGAGCAACATGATAAAACCCCATCACCAAAAAGATACAAAAATTAACTGGGCATGATGGTGTGTGCCTATAGTCTCAACTACTCAGGTGACTGTGGTGGGAGAATCACTTGAACTCAGGTGACAGTGGTTGCAGTGAGCTGAGATCACCTCACTGCACTTCAGCTTGGACAACAGAGCGAGACCCTGTCTCAAAAAACAAAAAGTTTCAATCTCTGAAATAAGACTATCCGAGCACAAAGCCCAGGTCTGCTTAAAATGCAGATTAACACAAACCTCCCTACTCGCTGATACTCCCTGCGTGACTTTGAAAAAGCTCCTTTGTGTCTCTAAGTCTGTTTCCTCATCTGTATAATGGGCAGAATACCACCACCTAATCCATGGGGGTTTTATAATATTCAAAAGCCATACCACATATGAACTGCCAGGTAATGAATAGAACTCCATTAATGATTGCTATTACTATTGTATGTTTTATTGACACTTGAATAATTGCTCTTATAAGTTAAAATTTGAGCAAGTCTTTTCTTACGGGTATCCAAAAAACATCTAAATATGTCCTTCCATCCAAGATCTTAGTTGGTTTTGTTTTGATTCTCTTTTCAATGCCAGCATGGGTTCTCTAAAAGAGAACACTAGAAACACTCACAAAGCTTCTTCTATTTATCACTGACCCCAACACAGAGGTCTCTAAAAAAACCCACAGGACTGTCAAGCACTCATCTTTTCTATTAGGTTTTTTCCTCTTTTGAGTTACCTTTTTCTTGTCAAAAAGGTGACTTTTTATAGTTTAGATCATTCAAAGTAACTCTGTAGTAGAGAAGGTCATGGCTCTTTTCACTGATTCTTACAGTAAGACAATTGGAAGTACAAACAAGTGTGGAGTCTTTAGTTTTATTGAACTGACACTTCAGGGGAAATGCTAAATGACCATTAAACCCTCTTCACCCTTCCCACTTCCCCGGTTCCAGAGAGCAACTGACATGGAGTTCTGTCATGATGAGCTCCACACTAGTTAGCCAAACACTTGGCAAGTGCACATCAGTAGTAATGCTGCCAGGTTTAATAATCAGTGTTTGGACTGCTGTTAAAATATTTTAATATGATAATTGGGTGGCCCCTCATCCTTTGTCCAATAGCTTAATTTATCCTAGTGACAAGCCTTCATTTTCTGACATATTTTAGACTCGTGTCCAATGTTAGGAGAAGCCCAGCTAAAACTGCAGGGCTTATGTCCAGATACATCAATCGCATACTGTTACTCAACTTGAACCTTTAATTATATCATTAAAATTACTCTGCTAGGCTGTTTCTATCTCCATTCTGTGGGAAGTCTGCATTTAAAAAAATAATATTAAAAAACTAACCCAGTAATCTCTCAGATCTTATTTAATTTGAATAATGTGTAATTCTAAGTACATCTTTCTATCCTAACTGGATATTCAGGCGTAAGAGCTAGAAAGAAGGGATGGGGAGAATGTTAATGAGTCTGGCCCCCCAAAATAAAAGGCAGTATTGGACACTTCTATGAACTAATTTTTTTAAAAGGAGTTAGAAAATAAGACATTCAAAAGATATGTCTGGGACCATTTGCTTTACGTAATAGATCAAGGACAATGACTGTGGTATCATCATGAGTTTTTTGAGTTTATAATTTTTAACTTTCCCAATATTTGTTCATGATCGTTGTTGGAAGGCCTGTCAGCACCTAGAAGTAGTTATCATTGAAGCTTTCAAAAGAAAAAGACCTTTGTGGTGGTTTATGGTATGTTATGAGGTGGAACCTGGGACAAAGTATACAGGAGATTGTGTCTGTTCTGCTGCGAACTCTATAGACAGAAGACCACACACTATGGCAAATCTGTGGAGAAAGAAGTCAACCTGGCTCATGCTTTAGTTACTTTAAGAATTTGCTCCTGGCTCCACATGGTGGTTCACACCTGTAATCCCAGCACTTTGGGAGGCCAAGGCAGGTGGATCACCTGAGGTCAGGAGTCTGAGACCAGCCTGGCCAACATGGCAAAATACATCTCTACTAAAATAGCTTCTATCTGTATAATGAAATGAACTTTTTAATAGAAAATCAGGAGAAGCTAGAAAAATAAAACCATCAAGTTTATTAATACAGACACTTCTAGTTTACAGAATTTCAAGTCTACATGTGGTAACTTTCTTCTACTGAAATTTATTTATGAAAATAAATTTGTTTGGTGTACATTATTTGGAAGTCTATTGATGTTCTTGCTAAAAAATGATTTGATAAAAAATAATAATGCTCATCTTTGTGCTTGACAGAGTCTACTTGATAGGGCAAATAGGAAATATTTACATTTCTAATAGCTGGGCTGGGTGTAGTGGTTCACTCCTGTAATCCCAGCACTTGGGAGGCCGAGGTGAGCCTAGGAATTCAAGACCAGGCTGGCCAATATGGTGAAACCCCACCTCTACCGAAAATACAAAAATTAGCCAGACATGGTGACGCATGCCTGTAATCCCAGCTACTCAAGAGGCTGAGGCAGGTGAATCACTTGAACATGAGAAGCAGAGGTTGCAGTGAGCTGAGATATCGGCTGAGGTGGGAGGATTGCTTAAGCCCAGGAGGCTGCAGTGGGCTATGATCTTAGCCCTGCACTCCAGCCTGGACGACAGAGTGAGGCTTTGTCTGGGGAAAAAAAAAAAAAAAAAAAAAGCACAGACAATTTCTTCACAACAGGTAGAAATCACAAGGGCTGAATAAATTGATGGTTTATAAAGGAGTCACTCCAAGCAGGAAAAATGAAGTAAGTGACATACAAAGACGTGAATCAACATGGCATGCTTGCACAACACACACAGACTGATTTGGTTAAGTCTCTGTTGGTTTCTGTTGGATGGTACAGAAGATAAATCTAGAAGCATAAATCGTAGAAAAACTGCAGTAGAACTGGAATACCATCCCTTCACACTTGAGTTCTAAGAAGGTAGAGTGATAAGTGCACAGAAGGGAAAATCAATTTGGCAGACTCTGCCAAAAACTCTAAGTCCTCTAAAAGTCTGCATTTCTTGCAAAATAGTGCTGGTCTAATTGTTTTTACCCTATGTCATCAATGATCTCTTTTCCACTTTATTAATAATTAAGCCTTAAATATATAGGAAACCTCCTTGAAACTGGACTTTGTTTCAGAATGTCATACATGAAGTATAATTAGAAAATAATATATTAATATTAGTAATTGCCATTTACTGTTAAGAAGATCTTATGTAGAAAGACTAGTCATATGTGATGAAGTAGTTACTAGATGCTTCTAAAGTTGCATTAAAGTATCACAATATGGAAAAAGCATTGGGATATAGTATGAGATCAAAATCAGTTACTAATATAGCACCTAAAGACAAGAAAGGATCTTGTTTTGGACGTTGATAAGGAGGGTATACTGAATGAAGCTGTGCTGCCTATGTAAATTGTTTAATATCTCTCTGATAACTTTAAAGAATAAAAACACAAACTTAAATTATCAAAAACGTGTTTTACTTGAAATACTACAAACCAACACTCTCTTTATCCTGTAACGGGAGTCTGTGTTTTATGTTTCCCATTCGTTTCCTCAGACTCAGATTAGTCCGAAAGAAGGGTGGCAGGTGTACAGCTCAGCTCAAGATCCTGATGGGCGGTGCATTTGCACAGTTGTTGCTCCGGAACAAAACCTGTGTTCCCGGGATGCCAAAAGCAGGCAACTTCGCCAACTACTGGAAAAGGTAGGTGTCCTGTGTCCCCTATGCATGTTTTTAGTAAAATCGACCATTCTTTGCAAAGGAAATATGGCAGAGCCGATAATAGTGAAGAGGATTCTTTCAATTTTCGTCTCCTTTCTCAAATAAGCTTTTTTCGCGACCTTGAAAGGGTTACCTCAAGCTTCCTGCTGTTGTCCTTGTCCTATTTCTATGACTTTTTACTTTTTCTAAACTTGGCAACTTAAGACTGGCTCTCTACCATATATCTTAATCTCTAGTTAATTTCTCATTAAGAAATAAAAAAAAAAGAGCATCTTATTCTGAAGCCAAAAATTCAGTTCAACTCTCAGGATCACATTACACTCTTGGATCTCAAACTTTTGAATCCCATGAAAACCTTACAAGAAAGTTAAAATAATTGCATGTGATATGCAAGCTATCTGGACAGATAATGAATAATTCCAAATGTTTATCATCATTCTCTAAGTCATTCCTTTTAACATTAAGCTCTTCAATTTCATTCAATACCATTCTCTCCATAATTTCCTTAATATGGATTCAACAATCAAACGCAGAATGTCTTTGATTTTTTCTCTTTTACACATAAATGTGAGCTCATGAAAGGTTATTTATGTCTAGTTGGGAGGGAGGAAAACCAGTGAATGGTTCTGTCAAATATTCTCACTCAGACTTTCACTGTGCTGGGCTCTAAATGTAGTAAGACAGCTGGGATGGCCAGATTACGGAAATATGACGTGTTTGGATTCTAAATGTCATTAGGAATAATAAGATAAATTAGTATGTGTTTTAGAGGACATCATGCTTAACAATTCACTCTGTGTGATGTCATTTTCATGATCACCCACACATTTATGGCATTGAATAGAAACTTTTTAACAAAAAATGAAGAGAAGCTAGAAAAATGAAATCATCGTTTTATTTTTAATAGAGACACTCCTTATTTACACAATTTCAAGCTGCCATGGTGACTTTCTTCCACTGCTATATAGTGAAAATAAGTTTCCTCTTTGTATATTATTTGCAAGTATATTGATGCTCTAAGATTTTAAGATTTTTTTCATGTGCTTATGCAAAGCGTAATCTGTTTCTCCTTTCCCTCTGCTTGAAGCTATCATCGCCTATTGGCTCTTTCTTCTTAAGCCTCCTTTTATGGTAAGATCCCATCCTTTCGACTCCCTCAATATCTGTCTTCCAACAAGAGCATATGTCATTTTTGTTCAGAATAATGACTCCAGCTAGCATGCATCTAACTATTAGAAACCATGACAAGGCCGGGTGTGCTGGCTCGCGCCTGTAATCCCAACACTTTGGGAGGCCGAGGCAGGTGGATCACCTGAGGCCAGGAGTTGGCAACACAGCCTCGCCAGCATGGCAAAACACCGTCTCTACTAAAAATACAAAAATTAACTGGGCGTTGTGGTGTGCACCTGTAATACCAGCTACTCGGGAGATTGAGGCAGGAGAATCTCTCGAACCTGGGAGGTGGAGGTTGCAATGAGCCAAGAACTCACCACTGCACTCCAGCCTGGATGACAGAGCAAGAATTATGATTATTCTTGGGTTTATTTTCCAATGTTGATTTTTTATTTATATAAAAATTCAAATATATATTTGATTTTGTTTGTTTACCAGGGAAATTATTTACATTAGTAAAAAGATCTAATCTTTTACATCCAATTTTGCTGTTCTGTTAAATTGTATTTCCCTTCAGATAATCAACATTCTTCACCAATCTTCTTTTCTACCCAGAAATACCTTTTTTTCTACATAACCTAAGGTGGGAGATTTTCTTAGACACCATACTTTATCTACTGTGCTGCTATTTTCCAGTACACCGTTAGATACACCTACACATAGACTCAAACATTTCTTCAAAAATCAGTTGAAAAAATTCAAGTAAAGTATAAATGTCAGAAGGTGGATAATTCCCTTTACAGGTTCAAAGTGAAATGTATTTCAGAGCTATGATAAAAACTGGGAATTAGTGAAAGATGAATAAAGCAAAAATGTATGAAAGCATTATACTGGTTCGTTGAAAATAATCGTAGAAATTAATATGACCACTCCATCCATCCAACAGGTAATTTGTCATCCAACAGGTAATTTGTCTGAATGTTTTCAAGAAATTCTAGAACATCATACTTTTCAAAAGTTATTAATACATAAATGACAAAAAAACAACAAAATTTATTAACAAATTTGAAGTCACCACAAGGTAGATGTGTTACATTTACCATATGGTAGTTTTAGGACAACAGAGGAATCGTAAATTGTGTGCGCTCTTTTACAGTGGCCTGAAGGGGGTTAAGTAGCACTGGCTTGCTGCACTGATCCAAAGAAAAGATGTCTGGGATATCACAGTATTTCAGACTGAGCCAGTCCCTTGCTCATCTCTCTATAGTTTCACATATATCCAAGGCACCAAAGGGCAAACAAGAGCACGACCTTTAAGAACCTCCTTCACTTTTAACCAAAAAGATTGATTTAGTCATATAGAAGGGAATATTGTTAATAAAAACAATATTCACAACAATAGTTCCCATTATTAGTATGTTTTTGTATTATGTTTTGTATCCACTTCATTCAATCCTTGCAGAAGGGGTAGCTATCTTTCTAAGTTTATATGAAAGAAAACTGGTGGTTTTTAGGTTGAAAACTTTCCAGTGTCACTCAATCAGTAGGTTGTGGGCTGTAACAGGTCTGTTTGCATTTTCTCAATGCTATGCCAGTATCATACAAAATGCCATTGGTATATCCACACTTATTTAAGTGACGTTCTGTTTACCATTTTTAACAAGTATTTATACTATTGAATATTACAAAAATATATATAATTGGTTTCACAGTATTTCAGGTCTTAGTATGCCAAAACTAAAATTGTTCACCTAAAAAATTATTTGTTTGTTAACTGTGTAGCTTCCCTGTAAGTTAAAGATGTCTTCTGTTATCTAAGTCAATATTTCCTAAAGTGTGATTTTTTGAATAGGACACTGCCATCATCCTCACCAACAACATAAATTTAAGAAACATTGTATATGATACTTCACTCTTGAAAATTTCTAATACAAAGTTTACTACTAAAGGTTTTGTTAAGTCCTACAGTCAAGACATCTGTTTATAAGTGTTAAACTCAAGGCTGTCCAAACATATTTAATTAATAGAATTTTTTTTCAGGTAGCTGCACTAATCATGAGTGAGACTGAAAATCTAAGTTAATTTGTGTTTAAGTTCAGAAAATCCCAAATATTTTATTTATACAAAGAACCAGAATAAATAAAAATTCCAAAAAAATTATCCGGGAAGGATGACAATGAACTTGCCAATCTATGCTGAGAGATCCTAATCACAGAAACACCTCTGGAAAGCTGAATCACAGAACAACCGCAGAGACAAGCCGACAAAAAGAGGGAACATAGCAGACAGTTCTCCTTCCCTATATATGTCGTCATGGGTATCCAGTCTCCTGTATCATCAGGAAACTGATGCTCTGTGGGCCTCCATAGCAAGTGGAAAACTAAACAATCTTAGGTACAGCCAGCCGGAGATGCTTAAGACAACCTGAAGCCAAATCCTGCCCAATTAGACAGCTCTAGCTCTAGCCATTACCCCTAATGTAGCTCCTCTAATTACACATGATTCTTCAATATAGGTCACAATCAAGTCTTAGCAAAAATTACCTCAGTGCATTTTCCTGTAACACAAATGAAGTTGAAAATTAACTTTATAGGGTGAGTCAAAGACAGAAATAAAGACAGTCTATTTTAACTTTATCCAGAATACCTTGTCTTTCCCATCATTTTCTAATTGTAGGACTTGGCCCAGGTACATAGAATTATTTCCAGTATATCAGCTATGCTAATGCTAAACAAATGGCATATGTAAATAAGTAGACAGTTTTTTTAATGCAAATGGATTTTCCTTATTCATGTTTAACCACAAATGAAGTTAGAAAATTATGTTGAAAGCATTGCATTTATCCACAATGTCGTCACCATGCTTTCAATGTTGTCTTAGTAATTTTGTGTGAGACTAGATATTTTTAAAAATAAAAATAAAGCTTTCTGAATATTAAACTTTTAGTAAATTAAGAAATACTTATAGTCCTATAATGCTGTTGCTTAACCAGAGACAGGAGGAGGAAGACTCTCCTTAAAATTCTAATTACTTATTATTACTATTACAAACCCAGATAATTTCACTCAATAAATATTTATTGAACACTTATTCTGTGCCTGGTTCTGTGTACGGTTTTGGAAATAGGAGATATGAGTAAGACACAGCTTTTAACCTCATGGAGCTCACAGAGGAAAAGTCACTTCCTTGCCCCTACCCCACATCCACATAACACAATTAGTTTTAAGATAAGCCAGACTGTATTATGTCCTAAAAGGACAGGATTCAAATAGGGCAAGGTGATGGATCAAGACAGCAGAGGAAATAGCAAAGGGTGAAAAAAAGCCAAAGAACTGAGGCAGGCCAAGGCAGTATTCATTACCTTTTGCCAATATTATAGTTCTAAGGAATGTATCAACTGCGGGACCTTTACATCTGGTTGATCCATTAAGCATTGTCACTTTATCTGATGACAAAAATTTGTGTCTGAACAAGTCATCCCTTTGTAATTCACATTTTTTCAATGAAAATAGCTTTTTACTGATTGTGTGTGTGTGCAAGTATGTGTATTTGATTTAGAATAAACAGATTGGCCAGGCACAGTGACTCACACCTGTAATCCCAGCACATTGGGAGGTCAAGATGGGTGGATCACCTGAGGTCAGGAGTTCGACACCAGCCTGACCAACATGGTAAAACCCCAACTCTACTAAAAATACAAAAATTAGCCAGGCGTGGTGGCATGCACCCATAATCCCATATACTCAGGAGGCTGAGACAGGAGAATTGCTTGAACCCAGGAGGTGGAGGTTGCTGTGAGCTGAGATCACGCCACTACACTCCAGCCTGGGTGACAGAGTGAGACTCCATCTCACAAACAACAGCAACAACAACAACAGCAACAAAAAAGATGAAAGTATGTAAAGACCTTTACGTTTGCTTTTCTCATTGAAATCATTCCATGTTGAGCAGTACTTCTCAAACTTTAATAGACATAGGAATCACTTGGGAATCTTGATAAAATGTAGATTTTGATTCAGTAGTTCTGGATGAGCCTTTCTGAGATTTTGCATTTCTGACAAACTCCTACGTGATACCAAAATTGTTGCTTTGAATACTAACAGTAGAGAGATCTATCTTATTCTTTATAATGGGTCATTCATATTCCATTTCTCTATTTAACAAGTCCCCCATTATTAGACCTGTCTACCAAGCACTTGCTGTAGTTACCATTTTCCGGGTTCCTCAAACACCATGCTGTCCAATTTAGGGAGTCTTCTAGTACTGCTATTTGTCTTGGTCAATTCAGTCTCACCCCTGGGAGTACTTCAGACCCATTAAGAACTTATTGAGCTAGAATGAATGCATTGTAGGCCTCTTCAACTCTTCACTACCATCCACAACTGCTAAACATCCTAGATATTTAAGAAGTTAGAATTAGTATTTAGAGAAACAACTTATTTTGACATTTAACAGGTTGGGGTGTTATTAGCTTACAAAGCCTTAAAATGAAAATCCTATTTTTAAAGCTTATTTTTCTAATGTATTAAACTCATTTATATTCAGTCAGTTCTAATGATAGAATGCCCATTTTTAAATTTCCTGTCTAGGTATAATTTTCTCTTGCTGAATTGTTTAAATGTTTATCTTGAAGAATTGTTCTTCTGAAAATGTGTCATATGGGAATGCAATTATGAATTTGGCACTTCTAGGTTTTATGTTAACGACATTTTTGCTATTTTTTTAGTGATTGCACAAACCTGCAAACAGATAATAATGTACAGACAATATTCTTGTTTAACAGGTTCAGAACATGTCCCAGTCTATTGAAGTCTTAAACTTGAGAACTCAGAGAGATTTCCAATATGTTTTAAAAATGGAAACCCAAATGAAAGGGTTGAAGGCAAAGTTTCGGCAGATTGAAGATGATCGAAAGACACTTATGACCAAGCATTTTCAGGTAGGTTTGACTTCTGCAAGCTTGTCAATCCAAATCAGACACGGAGTGGGATGGACAGCAGTGGGGCACTCAGCTAGAAATGACTATGCATTGGCCCATGTGTGCAAGGTAAAAGACTCATAGGGATTTCAGTCATCTCTCCACTGAAACTGACCATTAGCTGGTAGGACGACATAGAAGCCTTGCTATAAAAAAAAAAAAGCTTCATCATTATAGAGTTTGGTGGAGTTTCTGAAACAAGGAAAATTTCCTCAAGGAAAATTAATAATTAAATTATAAATGTTTCTCTAATGGTTTTATGCCCTGCTAATATGAAGAAAGATGTTGATGGTATAAATTATTTAAAGAGATAACTATGCCATTAATATGAGCATATGGAGAGAGTTATTTCATAAATTTATAGAAATATTTTTCTAGATTTTAAGTGTTTTATTGGTAATTATTTACAAATACTGAAAATGGAGAAAGAAATCATGCTATGTGGACTTTTGTTAACTATATATGAAAGAGTTATGAATTTTAAGAAAAAAACTCTTGGCCTACTAATGCAATTTGAGCTCCCATTAAAAGTAAACCATTTGCCTTACCAAGGCACAGCCCATAGTTCATAAAACACTGTGGTTGCCCACTTAATAGCCTCTAGATTTCTTGTGAATTAGGAAGTGAGATTCACGGCTGATGTTGAGGGAGTGGATCTGAATTCAAGTCCTTGGAAAGGAAAGGAGTGCTTCCTACACATAATGGTGTCTGGTGGGGAGCTAGTGAGGAACATGTAACTGAGTCTCTGCATAACACATTTGAATGTGGCAGAAAGTTTCATGGTTTTGTAATTTTCTTCAGTGGTACTCAAGAGATTGAGTAAAGAGGTATGGAAGAGAGTTACACTCTGAACTCATTTTAAACTTTTACCCAGAAGGTGACAACAGAAGAAAAAGAGGGCAAGAAAGTTAAGGGTATTGAAAAGAGAGGGAACTGAAGTGATTAGTCATGAGGTCTAAATTGAAGAGAGAAGTAAGCAAAGCCAGCAGGTTAAGAAATTAGGACAAACTAGAGCAAGATTTAGAATATACTTAAATTTAAAGATTATTGAAAATGAGAGTATAAGTGAACTGGATAAGTAGGAAACTTATGGATAAATGGTAAACAGAGAAGAATATGAAGTTGAAGGGCAAAATAATTAATTTTAGCCAATATCTATTGAGCACATACATACCACACACAAGGTGTGGCTGGCCCTTCTGCTGGATGTATAATACATAATCTCTCTTCTATGAAAGACAACTAACAGGCAGGTGAATTGATGGTGAATGGAGGCATAAACATTACTTAGGAGTGCAAAGGGAGGAGCAATTAATTTTGTTTTTAAAAGACCAGGAGAAGAGTTATGAGAAAGCAGTTTCATACTGGTGACCCTACCCCTCCACTACTAAATTATAGGGGGAGTCGAGAAAACCAAAAGATTTACTATGTCAATATTCAGTGCTCAGGGTTAGAGTGTAGATGGTAAAATAACAATGTGAACCCAATGCTGAGGTCATCGGCAAAGTAGAAAATAGTAAGCTGGCACCTTAGGTGTGGGAAGAACATTCCCAGAAGGAACTAGTCAGGAGGAGAGGAGCTCAGACTGTTTGGCACAGATGGACAATGCAGTGAGAATTCTGCAAAACCAAAGGACAGCTCGAGAGTGTAAGGGTTGACAGGGCTGGGAAATGCATGATGAAGCATGTGCATCTTTGGGAACTTTTGACAGAAGACAGGAAACTAAGAAACAAAAAGGATACAAAACTGAGATAAACCCCAAAGAAATAATGTGCCTAGTCCTGTAAATTGCCTAGCAGCAAATCAGCAGGCTACTGATAAGAAAACAATTTTCAGGCAGCAGCACCTGTGACAATGACTTGGATTTTCCTAGTTCATGTATTCCAAGTATATGCTGAAGTTATATGTCAAAATCCAAATAACAGTAATGATAATAACAATAATGATTTTTCAGAATATTATACTTATTCAAAGTACAGTTCTAAGCACTTTCAGGATATGAACTGTATAATCCTCGCAACAATCTTGTAACTCAGGCACTATTTTCATTTCCATTTTAAAAATAAGGAAGCTGATGCATAAAGAGTGTATTGGTCTATTCTCAACACTGCTATAAAGATCTGCACTGAGATCGGGTAACGTGTGAAAGAAAGAGGATTAATTGACTTACAGTTCTGCGTGGCTGGGGAGGCCTCAGGAAATTTATAATCATGGTGGAACGGGAAGCAGGCACCTTCCTCACAAGGCAGCAGGAGGGGGAGAGAGAGAGAGAGAGAGAGAGAGAGAGAGAGAGAGCATGAATGCAGAAGTACCACACTTTAAAACCATCAGCTCTCATGAGAACTCACTCAGTATCAGAACAGCATGGGGGAAATCGCCCCCATGATACAATCACCTTTCACCTGGTCCCTCCTGACATGTGGGCATTACAACTTGGGATAAGGTTTAGGTGGGGACACAGAGCCAAACCATATCAAAGAGATTGAGTAATTTGTCCAGAGACATATATCTAATATGCATGAGAACCAAGATTCAACACACAAAATCCAACTCCAGACTTATACCTCCTAACACTAATGCTGCATTGCTTCTCCAAGTAGACTTTAGGTCTGTGAATTACAAATAATAATCATTAGGTGCTCAACATATATTTGTGGAGTTTATTTATTTATTGAGACCTACCATGAGTTGGATTTTGTTCTAGGTGCTAGTACTATACTTGAAAAGAGGAAATGGAACATTCCAAAGTAAATTCAATATTGAAGAATACTTTTTAAAAAATCTTCCTACCCTGTCTCTACTAAAAATACAAAAAAAAATTATCCAGGTGTGGTGGCAGGCGCTTGTAGTCCCAGCTACTCAAGAGGCTGAGGCAGGAGAATGGTGTGAACTCTGGAGGTGGAGCTTGCAGTGAACCGAGATCGCACCACTGCACTCCAACCTGGGCAACAGAGCGAGACTCCGTCTCAAAAGAAAAAAAAAAAAATTCCCTCTGATACACAATTTCCATCTTATCAAGAATGTTAAGTAGGTTTTGTCTTCTACACTCTTTCAGACAGAAAGCTTATACCAACTACTATACTTGAGATTGTCATTCTTAGATGAAGAGATTGATGTTGGCTTACTCTAGCTAAGAACTTGGATATAAAAGCAACATAGTAGAAAGTGAAATATTAGAAGAAATTAGCAAACACAGATCTATGCTATTCTACTGTAATCTTTTAAGTATTTGATATGAGCATTGGGTGGACTTTCTAATGCTCTCATATAAGTTTCCAGAGTTTCACAATTGATTGCCAATCATCAACTTAGGAATTGTTGAAAAGATTAACAAATCTAAATACCTAGTTTTGAATTGAGGGAGAAGAAAAGCTAGCAGCATTTTCACATTGAATTGCTCTCTTTTAAATATGGCCATAGTATAATGTAAAACCTTTGATTGTAACAGTTGTTATAATGTGCAGAAAATGATACTAACAGAAATATTCTCATTAAAATCCTAATGAAACAATTGTGTCTTCCTTTAGGGATGCTGCAAGATACTCTGATAAGTCTGTTTCCAAATGAGCTGACAAAATGAGCAAAGCTCTGCAATTCTGCCTTTGACTGTGATATTTATGAATCTTTCTCATTATTAAGTATCTCCATAGCCTCCCACTCAATATGTACATGTGAACAAATTCAAAGATTCTGAACTTACAGAGCAAGTGGAAATTTCCCCACAAGAAACTCAAGTCCATAAATCAGGGCAGCAATGAGAGCTCCTGCTATTTTAATGCATTTATAGTAATAACATCTCCTGAATGTAATCTAAAAATGCAATTTTCAGCTCCTTACATTAGTGTACAGTATGATTTCTGACAGCACCTATGTATTATTCTCAAATAATCATAAGAGGGACAACTCTTTCCACAAATGATATTATTTCTAATAAATTAATAATTGAATCAAACTCCTGAAATAAATAAGTGCATATATATATATGCATATATATACACCTATCCACTACTATGAAGTTAAAGAGAAAAAAGTAAAGGTGACACGTCTAGAAACTCAAGGTGAAATTGTAGGCATGCTTCAGTCCCGTTATGGATAGGGGTGAGGGATACTGCTTGACAACATACACTTCGTGTGTGTGTGTGTGTGTATGTGTGTGTGTGTGTGTGTGATGAAAGTCAATGCTTCAGCTTCAAACAACTCTGTGTAACTGGCTCATCTGTTACATAAATTACACACTTTGGTTTCTTAAAGAGTTAATTCACTACATGGGCAAGCAATTCTGCCATACATAACGACCTCTAAATTATCTATGGTAAAATAAATGGAGTCGAAGTATAGGTAATAATTCAAATTAGTAAACAGTAACATACATTTCTTTGAGCCTTGGGAAGCTTCATGTGATTTATTATACTTTCTAAACTTACCTCATAATGAAGTTGTGCTAAAATTGATATTTAAAAGATCAAGGAATACCTGAGCACAAAGGAAAAACAAAGTTGGTAGATGGCCATGATGGAAAAATTCTAAGTGTCAGAGAAAAGCTGACCCAGAGTCCAAAATTTTCTGTATGTGCCCCATAACATGGATATTTAGTAGGTGGATGATTAGACTCAACTGGACAATCATAGGGTATTTGATCTATTTTCAGTCACTTTATTCAAACTTAATTCATAATTAGAAGATGGATTCTGCTTATATTTCTTAATTAGATAATACATCGTTCACTATATAAAATGTTACCAGAAAACGAGATAGTATATAACCCATAGTTTCTACCATAGGAAGTTTTTCTAATTATAATAAGGAGACATTTGCTGTAGAAAAGTAAGCATTAAAGAAAGATTCTTGTATGGAAAAGCTGAAATAAATGGACTTACTATTAATCATCACATGACCACTTAAATTTTCACAAAATACCTAATTTCAACCAAAAATCAATAAGAAATGTTGAAGCTGTTTTAATAACTTCCTTTAAGTATCATAATAAAAGGAACAGAGCAGCATGATCTGTTTTAAATGACTCTCAGGAACAATAGACTGCTTTTCACAGGAGTTGAAAGAGAAAATGGATGAGCTCCTGCCTTTGATCCCTGTGCTGGAACAGTACAAAACAGATGCTAAGTTAATCACCCAGTTCAAGGAGGAAATACGGAATCTGTCTGCTGTCCTCACTGGAATTCAGGAGGAAATTGGTGCCTATGACTACGAGGAACTACATCAAAGAGTACTGAGCTTGGAAACCAGACTTCGTGACTGCATGAAAAAGCTAAGTGAGTATGGCAATTTCATTTGTCTAAGTTACATTTTTATATAGTTTCAAAGAAAATTGTGTTCTTACGTTTTATAAAGAGTCATAAAATATCTAATTAGAAAGAAACCAGAGCCCATTTTCTAAGTGTGAAGTGTCCCCTAATGACTTAAGCATGTGTGGGTACTCTCTGCTAGACTAATGATTTGTTGATTTTTAGAGCACTGTGTTACCATTTGGTGGCTTCAAATAAGTAGTCTGGCAAATACAGTCAATTCTATGGACTACACTAGTGGATATACATTTTATTTTCCAATATGTGATATCAGTCATTGCTTGGCTAGAGGAAAAAGTCTTTTTTTTTTTTTTTTTTGGTTAGTGGAGAAATTTAGAGACTAGGGAAAGGTAAGTTATCCTGGGACCAAATGTCAAACAGCAATTATTAAAGAAAATGGAAACAATTCCTCCAATTTACAGAATTGCCATCAACTGCTCTGATCTACTCAAGAAATGATAAGGTGGCAACTACTTCAATAGGAACTCACCACTACGTAAAGAATCAAGCATGTGACATGCATGGGTCATGGACTCTAGTTCTTGCCTCCTAAAATGTGTGGTCCAATCTGGTCTGAGTTACAAATTCTTTCATGATATCCATGAGCTAATTATTCAGTTGAAGTCAACATGGGACTAGTCTGCAACTTGAATGTAAAATAAACAAGTGGTCATGAATCGAATAAGGAAGAGTTACAAGTTTATTTAGGATCAGTATTTTAGTTGTTGACATGATGTGACATGACAGGGAGGGCAAGTCAATACCCATAGAAAGTGTTCTCTCAAGATAAATACATCCTTTTGTGGATCAGGAAAATTGGGAAGAGAAGTAAAGAACACACAAAAAAATGATTAATTTCTAGTAAAGAAAACTTCAGTGAATAAATGTAAACATTTAAAATAAAATCTGAGTGGCTTACAAGAACATTGTAAAGACTATTTTACAAATATGCTTCAAGTGATAAAAAGAGATCCAAAATGCAAAATGTCGCATTTGGTTATCACAGTCTCAAAATAGTGTGGGAAATTGCTACATTGGAGGCTCCTCTGTCATCATAACAGGATTTCTAAAAGAATCCAACAAAATGAATCAGGAGGAAATAAGGTAAACCTGAAGGCCTAAACATACGTTCAAGAATCCTCAGCTCTTTATTCCTCGTCAAACACAGTCTACATTTTTTCATTTACGGTTGGTCTCCTAACAGTCAACTTCGTATAATAGATTCTGTGATTCCAGTTTTCATTCCTCTCTAACTCATTGTACACATTATTGCCCAAGGGATTTTCTGAAGTATAAACCTGAAATTATTTTGCTCTGCTTAAAATCTCCTATGGATACCTTATGTCATAGGATACAGTCCATGGCTTATGTGACCCTTCACGTGTGGCCCCTTCTGCATCTCCAGGCTTAGTTTTTGCCACTTCTCTCGTCACATACTAAGTCCCAGTCATGTGTGCCTTACACTGTCTTACCATGGAGCTGTTATACAATGCTGGTTGTTTCTGCTCCTGAAACACTCCTTCCCCTATGTACCCAGCCTCCATCAACACACTTTCACCTGCCACATGTGATAAACTATTCATTCGTCAGGTCTCAGTTTAAATGTTGTGTCTTGCTAGAATCATTCATTGCCCTCCCGGATTAGGCTGGTGTCCTTGCCAGGCACTTCCAAACCCTGATATTTCACTAATGATTGGATTTCTCTCGTTTCATTATCATTGCATGTGTAGTACAATGTGTCTTGCTAGACATTTTTTCCGAGGACAAGAACAATGTCTATCATGTTCACTCTACATGTTGTATCTTCCAATGCCTAGAAAACTACCTGGTGAAGAAAAGTCACTCAATAAATATCTGGTGAATGAATTTACTCTATAAGGAGTCATAGGAATAATTTACACACTTTTCAACAGAGTATTACCTATCTCAAGTAACAGAGAATTATCTGTTTTACTCATAACAAAGAAACGCATCTTTTTAGCCACATCCTATTTGAGCCAAAATGGCAGGACATTATAAGACTAAGCAAGGGAAAAGTTATTTATTTAACATAACACTTAAATAATTCTTTTACATGCTCTGCTTTTATAATTCAAGTTGTGGAGTTTATGGTTAATATACAATAGGTAAACATTACTTACATAAGGAAATTTTGCTGTTATATTTGATTCTTTTTATATTAAGAAATATCTTTAGTTTAATGTCCATATTAGTGACAGGGCTTGCCAGATGTTTTCTCCACAAAATAAGATAAGAAGTAAATCTCAAATGAAGAATTACCCAGTGTCCTCAATAATATGAGGTTTACAAAGAAATATCCAGATGCATTTTGTATTAGCTCATAAAATATCTGGTTAAAGATTTTCTGCAAGTGACAATCTGTAGGATTTGTCTGTGTGGGGTTTTGACTTTCTTTTGAGGAGGAGGTCCATTTGTTATAGAGAAACCATTCCAGACCCTGAGAATCAATTCACTCTTTTATTCCTAGCATGTCACAATAAACCCAAGCACATAGGCATTGCATGTAGTGACCCAGCATCTGCTGAGTACAAATGCACTCTACTGAAGTAAGGATAGGCAATAGAATGATTCTAGTTAGTAAGCTTCCTGAAACTTAAAAGTATGTCAGTTATGTTTTTGAATGAACAACACAGAAAACAACTTCTGGGATTTGCTCAATTTTAGAAATGAGCTTTCTTTCTACAGGTATTCTGTCTGGTTTACCTAGACGGAAATAATCTGTACTGCAGTTGGGTAGTTCTATATTCTCCTCAGCTCTTTTTTAACCCCATTTGTTTGTTTTTTCCAACCCACATATAACCCCCCACATATAGCCCCTTCCAATACTGAAAAAGATATTTTGGACAAAGAGGGTTAATCTAAATAGGCACACATTCATCCTTTTTATTCTTCCTGTTGAACTTTGCATAATATTTCTATAGCATCCTTATGCTTAGGACTTGGTCCTTAATATCTGTAACATCACGGATCTTTTAAATTAATTTTCTCTAGTGGACCATAATGTTAGAAATAATTTGATTGTCAAATAAACTGCATTAATTAGTCAATATTTATTTTTATTTTAGCTAACCTAAAACAAAACTTGGCAACTAATATAATACAAATATCAAATAGCAATAAAATCGGTATTCAACTTTCTTATTTAATGAGATGGTTACTACATAAATTAGTGGAGATGCTTCTATAAAATACTGAAAATAGTTCCCACATTTCATAAATGCTGTCGTAGATTATTAGCCATCCTCAGCTTTTTATTCGCTTAGTAGAGAGGCCATTGCCACAAACAATGAATGTAACTTTTTCATGCTTTTTATCTCAAGAACTGGATAGTTTTTACTATCCCACCATGTTTAGGTCAATTAACCACTTATTGAGCATCTCCTGAGCAAAGAGGATATTTTATCGACTGGACCACAACCCTTAATTACAATGTAGAAAACGTCCAGGCAGAGCCATACAGTCATTTATACAGTGAAGTATAAAGCCACATGGTTGCTGAAAAAATAAATAATTGAAACTTCATATTTTTCATTTTTAAAAGAGCCACTCTATTTGAAAGAAGATGTGCGGTAGTATATATTATATATATTATTATATATGGTGCATAAATATGTGTATGTATATACACAATTACAGAAGAAATGAAACATATAACTTTAAGTATAGCAGTAGGTTATAGTTTGATTAACACTCAATTTAGTGTTTACATTTCCTGGCAATTGGTACAGTTTGGATCAGTTCATCGCTGAGAACCTTTGAACTCCAAGGCTAATATTATCTCATAAATAAACACCCAATTATCCATATATCAGAATGCATACACTTAGGGAAGAAAACTGATACTAACATCAGGACCATTAACAGAAAGGATAGAGAAAAAAAAGCATATCAGGGGCTCAGTTGTTCCAAAAGCGCCTATAATTCAGTTGCTATGCTGCTCAGATCTAGAGTGGGACACTGGATAATTATAGAATCAGCAATATAGTAACAAGAGGAAGAAGGCTTATTCATCAATGGCATCTTCACTCTACACAAATGCTTCTTAACCCACATGGCCAATTAGTACAGGGTAGAAATGGATTAGAGAGAAACAATAAAATTGCAACAATGATGAATGTGTTTTCCCTCACTTTTTCAGTGGATTTGCTTTTAAATAAATGTCACAGCGTACATCACATGAATTTTAAGATGCTAAAAACAAGCCAGTCTCATTGCCTACAAAATCTAAGTTACCCCCAAATGGTAAATAAGGCCCCAAAGGAATCACAACTCATCAAGACCACTGGGGCACCATGGGCACCATTTTGCTTATTTCTACTACAGAATTAAAGATTTGGAGAAATTAGGAAAATCTGTCAATAGCAATGGACCCTCTGGCCTGAATGACAGTAATGTCCTTTTCTAAGTCCTTAATGTACTCCAATGAAAGACGGAATAGAATGAAGTCCCCTGTTCTTAACTGAATCATATCACATTCCTAGATATGCAGAATGTAATTGTATGTATGTGAGAATTCTACTGAAAAAACATGGTTAAAGTTTGTACACACCCCTGAGAACACAAAATAGATGTTTAATGTAGATTATAATAAGACTTTCCAGCTTTCCAGTCCTCTGCCCCTGACTCTGTCGTGTTAGTGCTGTTTTAGGGCAGTGGTTTGGTGCCATCTAGGGAAGCACTAGATTCTATGACACAACTTTGAGACTTCATGTTTAACAGAAGGAACATTAGAAACTTAAGGTCACAAGTAGAGACTTGAGTTACTGTCTTTACTGTTTCTGCCAAATTAGTTTTTAAACAAGAACCAAATTATCTATGGGCTAATACTTTAATTTAACAATTATTTATTGACTCTCTAATGTGTGCTGACATTTTGCTAGGTATTTGTGGATACAAGGATGGGAAGGAGACCATCTTCTTCCTGTCAAGGTTACATTTTAGTGGGG